CGCGCCGGACACCCGCTCCCCTGCGGCCGGCGCACACCCCGCCAGCCCCCAAGCACCGGCGTGCGGAGCCGGGAGACCCCAGACCCCGCGCTGCAGGAAGACCCCCACTCTCCGCTGCCGGGAACTGCCTCCAGCAGGGCGCCTGGGGCGGCCAGGGGCCTCCCGCTGGGCCGACTGGACCCCAGAGAGGCCCAGCTCCTGGCTTCGCGGCGCAGCACCCCACGCACAACTGTGCCCCGGGGGCCACAGCGACTTTCGCTTTGTTGCCCCAGCAGTGGGGACGCAGCGCCCCCTGGGGCCCATGGGGTGCGCCTCAGACCCCCTTGCCTCACGCTGGCGGGGCTCCAGCTGTGCCCTCACCCCTTTGTTGCAGGCGGGGAGAGCAGCCAGAGCACCCCAGGGCTGCATGGTCTCCAGGAGAGGCCAGGGCCAAGCAGGTGGTGCTGGCGCTCACCACAGCTGGTGCCACCTGAGAGAAAGGGGCAAGGCGAGCGCCTGTGGGGTGCGGGGAGAGCCTGCAGCCGCAGGGCCCCGCCAGCTGAGGCCACGAACCTCTGGCTGCAACAAAGCCAGGAGCGGACACCCGCCTCCCCTCTGCTGGCCTCCTGATTCTGGACCTTCACTGGCCTCCCAGAACACATGGCCACGGGGTGCGCCCCAGGTCTGAGATGAGAGGGGTGGGCTGGGGTCCCAGGACTGGGCAGGGACCCCCAGAGCCCCTGGGGCAGCCGTGTGCTCGAAGTCCAAGGGCCCAGGAGCCAGCTCCGGTGTGCACCCTGGGGAGCATCTACTAGACCGCATGGTGGTCCCCGAGTTTCGGAGTCCAGAGATTTTAAGGAGACCACCACCGTCTTCGTGGCTGGCTGAGGCTGGGAGGGCAGCGGGATCTCGGCCCCCCTGGGTGTGGGGCCCTGCTCAGGGAGATGCGGGGCACCGGGGGCTCCCTGCTTGGGACAGGGTTGTCTGCCTGCGCAGGAGCTGGAGCGGGGATAAGACCCCCTTGTTTGCATGAGGGTTTAAGTGGGAAAAAGTGTAAAGGTCACTGCTCAGCTAAATCCTTCTAAGGTTTAGAGTGCAAAACTTAGACCCTTTCACACTACAAAGGGGAAACTAGGGGTGTAGGCGAGCCCCCAGAGCCCACAACAGGTAGGCGTCATGGGGGACATGGCTCATGGGGGGGTCCTGGCTCATGGGGTCCTGGCTCATGGGGGACATGGCTCATGGGGGGTCCTGGCTCATGGGGTTCTGGCTCATGGGGGCTCCTAGCTCATGGGGGACACGGCTCATGGGGGACATGGCTCATGGGGGGGGTCCTGGCTCATGGGGGTTCGGGCTCACATCTGGTCCTGGCTCATGAGTTCCTGCAATAAGAATGGGGGAGAGCTGCCCCAGAAGACCTTCAGGGCCAGACAGTGTATCCCACAGCCCTGACTTTCCCCGACGGTCTGATACAAGGTTGCAGCCAGGCCCAGTGGGGGCCTCCCACTCTTTCTGCTACAGACAAGTATCACCTGCTCACAAAACGCAAAGGGAGGACACTGGGTTCCGATCCGGCCCTTGGGGCGGAAGGGGAGGCCCGAAAGCCTGCACAGCAGGGGCCCGGCCACAGTCGCCCTGCTGACAGACGCGCAGTGCGGGAGGCAGGCCGGAGGGCAACCCTCGTGCCCGGGACTCCAACCCTCGTGCCCGGGACTCCAACCCTCGTGCCCGGGACTCCAACCCTCGTGCCCGGGACTCCGCTGCCTTGGCCCCAGGTCTAGTGCGAGAGGAGACAGCCGGGGTGGACGGGCCATGGGGAACCGCGAGCCCTCCCAGGTCCCCGCAGAGCAGAGCGGGCCCTGGAGTCCAGCCCCAGGGGACCGAGCTGCCCACCCGAGACGTGGCAGGAAGGAACCACGTTCAGTGTCAGACAAGCGGACAGACACAGCCTGACCCCGCTCTCAGGAAACCCGGAGAACTGGCAGGTCCAGGGGCCGAGGGCAGCCCAGAGCCGGGGCAGCGGGGCTGCTGCCTAATGGTGTAGAGTTTCTGCTCTGGATGATGAAAAAGTTCTGGAAATAGACTGCCACGGCGCCGGTAACACAAGCCGCCCTTCCCGCTGCTCAGCCCTGCCGAGGCTGCTCCGACACCAGGCTGGGGTCAGCCTCAGCCACTGCGGCCTGACAGCCACCGGCAGGGCGTGACCACAGGC